CACGATAGAAGTTTAATGACCACAAAATCAGGACCAATCCAGTCAGATTAAAGTAACAAAAATAATACAGTTTCATTGTTGTGCTTTTAGCTCAAGGAACAATGTGCAAAACGGTCTGTTTAGTTACTGTTTTCTAAAATTTCAGTTTGTCAGTTCTACATGACTATCCTAAAAACTGATTTTTAAAGATCTCCGATTTGAAAGGGTTTAAACCTTGCCTTTTCTTTCCACCAAAATCATCATTACAATGTGGGCAAACAAGAAGAAAATGTTTGTCTGGCAAAAATGTCCATGTTGCAGTGATGAAAGCCTCTGTACATCAATCTTGAAGCACAAATCAAAAATAAAAACAAACTGAAAAGATGGAAAACTATTTATCAGCCAAATATGAAGCAGTCAAAACAGCCAAGTCTGCCTGTGCTTTGCTGCATGTCTGCATCAAAGCTATGATGCTACAACTGTTCTCACTCTTAAATGGAGCTGAATGCACTTCCAGCAGTTCTGTCAAGTGCCTTTAAACCAGTTTGTTCACGATGTTACGCAGAAATAAGAAAGTGTGCGTGACTAGCTGCAGAGGGTTGAGGCAGCAAGTGCGGGGTGGAGGGGTGGGGTAGGAAAAACAGTCAGACAAAAAGTTGATGAGGCTGAGGAGGAGGGAACAACTTGGTATATTCCTCTTCAAATGTAATATTCTTTAATTTCTCTATAGAGAAGAAAGTCTGAGCACCCTGTCAGAAAACAAACAAACAAACAAACAAAAAACAGCCATACACATCAGTTCAATTTTCTGCAAATAATATACAAATAAACTTRAGAAATTTTAGGACTAGGAAAGATGTCCTCATATGCAAAGCAACCTCCTAAACAGTRAATAATAGTTTAATTTAACTGAATGAATCCTTTACCACAAAAAGTTGCTTACCCAAGTGAAAATTGAAAAGAAAGAGAAGGTGATGGCCGCTCGGGCAGCGTCTCCTCCCTCCCTCAGTGGGTTGTCCTCTGGCTTGGTCACCTGCCACTGGTTGGCCAAAAAGCAGAAACCCACAAACCACATGAAGGACCAAAACGCTGGAAGGAGAGAGAGAAAACAAATAAAGAAAGAAATACGTYCTGCATTTAATACATAACCTTTTCTTCTTCTTTTTTATTTATTTTAGACAGAAAAAGAGATGCATAGGTAATTCTGTTTCAGTCTTTTTAAAGATTTTAATTAAATCTATTATAGAAAAAAAGTATTTTTTTAAATAAATAGTACATTTAACTTCTTCATGCAGTCTTGAGAATAAGTACCATAGCTGGAGTATGGAGTTGTAAAAACAGGATATGAAATTGCTGTTGCTATGCCAGATGGTTTTAAGGTTGGATTTTTTATCAATGGAGTGAGCAGCATTTTGTCTAATAAATAGGCAAAGACCATAATGGTGTGTTATAAGGGTTGGCAAAATCTGTTTCTTTCTTCTTTTTTTTTTTTGTAAAATTTAACTTTTGCTTTTGGCTTTAAATCACAGCATCWTTTATTCTTTCCTCATACCTACAACAAAAGGCCATCTCTCGTCTCTTTATACCCAGTGGTAACTCCCCTTTTTTGTGGGGATATGGTCATTTTTATTATTCATTTGCTGTCTGACCACTGCTAACAGCCGACTGTAGAGGTGCTCTTCTGACAGAGACAGTCCACCTGAGACTCCTTCTTTACACACTGCAGAATGGGCACACTTTATATAAATTTTAACCTCTGCAGCAAAACAAGCAGGCTGCCAACTTTTGACCTTTGAAGCAACAAAGCAATATCGTAAATCAGTTTCAAGTGCCAGCTCTGCAGGTAAGATTCTCCGAAATGACTTTAGGAAGGTATTTTATGTTCATTTGCCTTTAGGCTGCTCGAGGTGGAAAAACACCTTGACAAAAAATCCTGTTTATCTAATTTTCTTCATTCAAAACAAACACGGGTGTCAGTCTTAAATGTTAACTTCCTTTGCGGCACAGATTTATGATTTCCCACATGTCTGATTTGTTCTTTCACTGACAACCAGTGAGGTGGGAAATATGAACTGCACATTTCCACCTACAACTAGAGTTTCTTGAGGCATCTGAGGTGACAGAGTTTGTGAGTCAGAACGAGTGCAAACACAAGAAACTGCCACAATGCAGTGACTGTAGWGCTGGTAGTGACTTGGATCTGTTTTGTGCATTTATGCTTAAAAAGATATACAACCTTGGAATCAACCACCCGCTTCGGATGTTATCATCCATTAAATGGACATTATTAGCCATTATCAGTCCCTTTAGAATGGCTTCAGACTGGCTTCAGACTGTCCCGACTGTGCCGCCTAGTGGGTTCTCCATCCCATAGAATGGCTTCAGGCTGTCAGCTGGTTAATATGAGGCATAAAACCACTAAGATTTTTTTATGCAATCTGGTTATGAGGCATAAAACCATAAGGTTAATTTTAGAGAAAATGACAGGCTACGATAAAGTAGACTGGACTCCGGCGGTAGCAGATTGTTGCATTCCAACGTACATGGCACYGGTAACCCACTAGGGGGCAATGTCGGGACAGTCTGAAGCCATTCTATGGGACTGATAACTGCTAATAACGTCCATTTAATGGACTGATAACATCCGAACCTGCTGAATCAACATACCTGCCAGTGAAGCATAGCTACGATAACAGGAAGATTAAAGTAGAAAACTCAATTGTATTTTTTTAAAAAGCAGGATAATAATTGGAGAAAATCTGTGAGAAGCAAAGCTACTTGCCCTGAGTATCATGTAAAAGGATCAGACAGATCTATCAGACAGTAAGAATTACCACAGCATCAAATATGATGCTTTCCAGCTCAGAAGTGTGACTACTACTATTTACGGTAATCTGAACCAACAACCAGTTGTTCTTTTGTTTCATTAATGTACAAACGAACTATGTGAGAGAAACAGAGGGTGTGCACCTGGTGAAAACAGGAAAGGAGAGTCTCGTCTGCAGTGGTGGACAAAGTACTCAACTCTGTTACTTGAGTAAAAGTATCGATACTCATGGTCAAATCTTAACTAGGTACAAGTAAAAGTTGCTTGGTCAAAAATCCACTAAAGTTAAAGTACTTACTTTTGAAAAATACTTAAGTATTAAAAAATACGTGTATTTTAAAATACTCAAATATTCAAAAGTACAGATTAAAATGTCTAATATCAGTACATTGCTGTATTTTTTTCAGAGTGATTTTACAGAACCTTGTAACTCTCAGAAACCACCTGATGTATCGACACATGCAACCACTTTGCTGCAAATTCTACACCACCTGTAAAGACTTCAGCATAAAAATGCAATAAAGTGAGTGGTGAGTTCTTAAATACAGAAATGTATTTTATCCGTGGTGAACAGGAAATACGTTTAAACTGATACAAACAATTTTTTCAGTCCTAAAATCTCAAACATCGAGCTGAGATATGGCCATGCTGCTCTGGTTTCTTCACTTGAGTTTCTTCAACCGTCTCCATTGCTGGGTTCTGTTTGAAATGAAGGTGGGAGCTCAGCTCGCCACCGTCAACGAGGATGGCGTAATTCCAAATCTATCCCAGGTGTGAGCTATGACTGTGATTGGTTCCCCTTGTGAGGAACATAACGTGTGGCAAAATGTATTTCAATAAAGGAAAACAGCAAAAGTGGATCACAAAGCTATGCTGAGCCAAAAGTAACGAGTAACTACCAAGCTTCAAAAAATATAGTGGAGTGAAAGTCATAAGTTCTCCAAAAAATAATTACTCAAGTAAAGTTACTCAAAAAATGTACTTAAGTAAGGTACTCAAGTAAATGTACTCCRTTACTGTCCACCACTACTTGTCTGTGACAGAAACCACCTCATTAAAGAAGGCAGTGCTTGACTATTGTTTCRTTATGTTCCCAGCAGCAGCACTGCCRCAGAGAAAGCCAGTGTCAGACACATCAAAGCACATCTCATAGTCTTGTTAGTGCAAGAGGAGTACCTGTCTCCTTCCCATCCCTTTCACACCTCCTGTCCTCTTTCTGTGATCATATATTAACTACAAGTCTATTTTTTTCCACTTGAAAAAAAAACTTGCACACATTTTTGTAGTCTGCTGAACAGTGATCAGCTGAAAAAAATCTACATACAAAAGCCTTGTTACAGAGAACTTCAGCAAAAGAGGAGAAAAGCAAGCCTACGAGAGAGGAAAACACCTGTCCACAATAATTTTTTGTATTGTCCATTCACAACTGCAAACTAGATTTCCTATTTTTTTAATAAACTCTGTGTCATGAAAGATTAATAGAAGGCAGTGCAAACCTCCTGAAAATAGTGGAGTGGCTTGCAAGACCATGGTCTTCAGCCAGAAAAGGGTGGGCTGCCAATTGTAGGTCAGGAGTGAGCTTCTGATTCAAGCAGAAAGGTTTAAGTAAATTAGGGTTTGGTTTCTGGGGTTGAGGTAGAGAGGTACATGGAATCAAAAGGTGAATTGGGACAAATCTGCAGTAATGTGGACTTTATACTAGTTTTTCAAAGAGCTGAGGCACGAGGCAAAGTTGTTACCAATCAGTTTATGCTGCAACCTTAAATAGTTGTGAATTATGGGTTGTGTCAAAAAAAAAAAACAGGTTGTAAATATGAAAAGTTGAAATAAGCTTTATCTTTAAAAATATGACTTATCAGTATACATTTTGGTTACATATATATTTATCTGATATATTGTGACAAAACCACTTATAATTATGACACCTGAGTTGAATTTGCAGTTTTGAGCCTCAATAGTAACTGTGTTCTGTAACACAGCTAAAGCAGAGGTTATATTGTTCCTTGATACAATTGTCTGCATGTCTTTTTTGCTTAAATTGGTCCTTTGACCATGACTTTTGCTAGTGTTTTATCAACTGTACTGATAAATATCCTCAAAGTATAACTAACTTAATTCTTCTTTAAAGATTCTAACCTTCAAATACTGYGTCTCACTTTATGAGGTATGCAGGAAAAATAGATAACCAATTCCTTTATGCAAATACTACTTCGGTATTACCAGCATCATGTACTTTTTTGAAAAAAAAAGTGTTGTTTTTGGCCATAAAAAGCCACTTTCACAGACAAAATCATGTTACCAATTTCCCCCAATGCTTAAAGTAAGTTCGCACCAAGCCTTAAAAAGAGATTTGAGAGCAGCGCAGCAGTCAGCTCTCCCCACCCGAGGCTGAAGGTCAACAGACGATCATGCTAAGCTTGCTAACTGTTCCACCCTCTGACTGCTGCAGGGGCGTGTCTTAGAGAGAGGCTTTTATACCAGAACACAGCCGCTGTGAYGAAACYGTGGAGAAGACACGTCACAGCGGAGAGCCGTTAACCAATATGCAAATTGGCCTGCAGTACCACTGCTCTACCCATATGAGCAGCAAAAACACGTTTTTAGACCAAATATTACAGATTTGAACAAATACACACAAAAACATCAAAATTAGCACAGAAACAGTACTATATAACATTTTAGACACATTCTAGGCAGTTTATCAGCTAAAAGAAGTTAATTTTGGGGTAAGTTACTCTTTTAAAGCTTGTTATTGTTGGTCCCAAAACTTTTATAGGAAATTAATTGTTCACAATCAAGTGTACTCAGTGATTCTGTATGATTTGTAAAATAAATGATCGCAATATTTATGGATCAAATCAACATTCACTGACTGAGAGTCACTTCTTGTGTGTCCATTCATTTTTGCACTGGAGGAATGKTTACCCAAAATAAAAGTGATCCCTTGCTAAATAAATTACTCTTATAACTTTGTTATAAGAAGTGTAAGACTGAACCCTTACACATGTTTGAAGTGAATTCATCAAGTTAACCAAAATCTACAGGACAATAAATTACTTGAATACAGTGCATTCAAATATAATAGTGCCACCATGAGACAACTGAGGCTTTTATTTTGTTGGGGTCAATCATCGCAATAATTTGTTAATTGGCCAATTTATAAATTAAAGTCTGCATGCAACATGAGGCTAGACAGTGATAGTAAGATGCATCATCTGTAAAAAAAAAGATTCAAGGTAAATTTTGCCCTGTTTATTCATTTATAAAAAGCAACTTTGTCATTTTTTTAATATTAAATTAATGTAGCTACAAGAATATCAATTTTTTAATGTAGCATTTTTAGGTTCGGCTTTTCAAGACATAGTGTATTATGTACAGTATCATAATTAAAATTAACTTTAAAATCTAAAAAACTAATACCATTGAAAGAATTATTGGGGTTTATGTGTTACACTGACTGTAATTACACCACACATAGTCTAGTTTGTTTTATGATAGAAGTGTAATGACTGAAAAATGTGATTTATAATTAWCTTGATGATTCTATATTAATAGGCACATGCCAGGGAACAAATTCAACACATAATTGTATTTTTAAAACCATTAGGATAGGCATTTGATTGTTTGTGAGCATGGTTTTGATCAAAATGACAGGGACCCCCTCCCGGCTGATGACGTAATTAATATAGGCGGAGTCATTACCTGAAGCTGATGATAAAACTCTTGGGATTTCCTGTTTCGGMCTGATTTCCTGGTGGTGCRTTAAACAGGCTTTCAGCRAGAGCTCTCTGGTTTTCTGTATGGTTTACTCTCACACTCACATTAAATTTGCACATTCTCATATGATTTCGCATGCATCCTGGTAATGAACGCGCAGTAATGTTTATGTCTTTCACCATGCATGTGTCAGTGACTCTTTATTAAGTTTGTMTTTAGTTGTATTATGAAGAATGAAAGGGGTTTACCTGACACCCCAACATCAGCAAGSACTGCCTTTTTGCGGTCTTTGACGCTGCTGATTTGAGGGAAGTAGATGTCCAGAGCCAGAAATGTAACACAGCASAGGAAGGCCATTGAGCCCATAAAGACGCCATAATTACACGCGTTCTGGTTCCGGTTGAAGATGCAATACTCCTCCACTTCCTTGGGGCGATTTATGTAGCCCTCGTTGGCGATGCAGCCGAAGATCACGATGGAAAAGAGCTGGAGAGGAAAATTCAAAAGAAGAATAGAGATATAGATGTCAGAACAAAGAAGAGATTTCATATGAGAACTACTGACAAAACAGAATCTGCCAACAGGATGTAGACAGCACYGAGAGAATAGTTACACTTAGTTATCGACAGAAGCACAGATATCCAGTATTTTCTGAGGTTTTGCAATGACTGGCAAAACTGAAAAGTTTTAGTAAGTTTGAAATTACACATCTTGCTACTTCTACAGGCATAAAAAAATCTAAATGTTGCTACTAAATTGAATTAAATTAATAGCAGTGATTAATTCTTAAATATCTCAGAAGTTTGTTAATTTTATGAACACATCACGAATCGGTTTGGTAGAGATTTTCTGCGATTATCAAGAAGCCATCACTGACAACTTCAGTTTGATAAAGAAAATTCTATATTCAAGTATTCTTGTATTTAATTTTATTTGCTTTTATTTGAATATTTTATGAGCATTTCATCAAAATCATTTACAGGTCAGAAAAACTCCCACCTACTCAGGTCAGGCGGAATATTTAGACTGACTGATTCATGAATAAGAAGCCACTTCAGGCTMATGCTACCTGCTCATAAAGTCAAGACAATCCTGCAGGAGTTTTACGAATGATCCTTTGCATGTTTCTTTTAAATATCTTACTCTATGCTGACCTCTTTATTTTGTCTTGACCGATGTAGTTTGACAGAAGCAGTTTGCCTTTTCTTGCTGTTACACACAAATGACAGTTTATATGGTCACAGAAATATTATGTGACCAATCACTTCAAACCAGTGATTACGTTATTTGGTAAAAATAAATTGAGTACATTTTTAAAATGCTAGCTTTTAAAGGTACGTTTCAGTATCATCCTGATATCAATGCACGATTCAGAGATATGGATTTGTCTCRCTAATCAGAAAGAAGACCCCTGGAAAATCTGTCTGAATCCATTATTTTTCCTATTCTAACAAGGAATTCTTGGCATCATTTAAAGAAGAAACCTTAAACCATATTTAGATATCAGTATGGTATTGAAAATAGCTTTGCTAGCTCACAGGGAATGTAATAACAACTTAGGGCTTTGTTTTGCTCAGTTTTAGTTGTTGGTACTGCTCAGAAAAGTGTGTCTAAACATTTTTTWGGATTGTATTTTGGACTTTTCTTTCAAGGGACATTTTGACAGCTCGTACAGTGTAATCCTTGGTTTGATGTGTCATAAATKTATCAGGACAAAGTGTAACACTTCTCATTGCAAATTTCAGCTTGAGCAGGTTTAAATAAAAAAAAACTGTCAGTGACAGCACTAACCACTGTGCTAATCTGCTGTCTAACTATTCAATAGWTAATTAGTGTAAGGTGCTCCTAGGCTTGAGATAGAGGACAGAATAAATGTAAAGATTTGAAAGATTCTGTTAAAGTCCTCTGGTAGATCCAGTAAAAATATKTTTACTAAATATGTTGATGATACCATCTTTCTTACAGAGGCCTCTTCTTGGAATCATTCCACTAAACTGTTGCTAAAACCTTCTCATTCTCTGCAGAAACGTGTTGAAACTAAATTTGAAGAAGACTAAATTTATTTAATCTGCCAGAACTCAACCAGTTCTCTTTGTTTCTTGAACAAAAGGYTTGTATTTTTCTGTATGCAACAAACTGAAATGGTAGTGGACCCTCTACTGTTATTTTTAGAAAAAAAATTGAATCCTGCAACTTTAAGAAGCAAACCAGCCGACAAAGCACATCAACCTTTTGCTATAAAGTTGTCTTAACACTAATAGGACATTTAGTTTCATTAAAGGTCTGCAAAAGCAAAGCACAGTGAGGTCATGTGCCTTGACCTTTTGTTAAATTCCGAAGATGATTTTCTCTTTTCATTCCTGGACTACTGAAATCAGTGGAATCCTTCAACCTTTATTTAAAAAAAAAAACATTATTTTTATCTTCTCTCATTTAGAACTGAAAACACAACTGATTGTATAAAATGGAGTCCCTAACAGGGCCAGGTTACTTAGGGTGTTTTCACACCTGCAAATCAGGTTTGAAAACACGGATGCGAACCCTGGTGYGGATCAAACAACCCGGCCGAGACCCTTTTTTGAGGTGGTCTTGGTCCGCTTCCAAACGAACTCTGGTGCGGTTCGCTTCTGGTATGAATACAGACCGGCCTCGAACCAAACCAACTGCAGGAAACATGCACCTTTTTGGACTTCAAAAGCCACCATAGATGAGCAACATTAGCACTTCAGTGATGCTAAYGCTAACACTGTGCTACAAAACGTGAGCCGTTGTGGGTCAGGGAATGCAGAGCATCTTGTCTCCTTTAGGTTGTGGCACGCCTTTGACAACACTTTCCCAAAATTATATCATCGCAAAACTGCCAACAAGCTGCTCTTGATGTTCTTTATAGTCATTTGTATTAAAAGCACCATCTTTATTTCTGGGTCTGTGCTCTGTCCTGCCCTCGTCATTTCTGCCCAATGGGAGCAATGATGACCATCACCAATATAGCTTTGTCCACTGGCAAAAACCTCAATGTAAACGCAAACCACACCAACGGAAAAAAAACTAAAGTCCTCTATTTTAACTAAACAGTGGACCAAAGGACTTTCCTGGTGTGAATAAATCCTTAGATACCATTTAAACTGTCTTCCCTTGTCCCTACTATACGGCATCACCAAAATACCCTTTCACGGCTGTAAAAATGAGACAAACAAACACCCACAGAGTTTAGTAGCAACTTTGTACTTCTGGTGTTAAAAGCAAATCAAACAACTTCCATCCAGCTGACAAATCCTCTGATCACGCATCTAGGGAGCTATTTCTGTCTGATTATCGGGGCCAGGCGGGTTTATGTTTGTCAGCAGCCTTTGCTGAGGTGAGTGATGGATTCTGAGTGTGTGACGGGGAGGATAAAGCAGAGGCAGAAAGTTAAAAGCGAAGCTCGGGTTATGGGATAGTTTACTCAGCTGTTGTGTCTGTGTTTGTGCATTAAATGAGAGTGATAAAAGAAGACATAATAGACTATACTTTCACTGGCAGGCCTGATCACAAGGGCCAGAAACCAGGTTTGGGATTAAGATATCTTTCACAAATATAGCCTAGTTTCTTGCCTCAGTTCTCTCTTTATGGTGCGCTTGGAAGAACACAGCTTCAACAGTGAAACTGGAGACTCAACATTTCCAGTTCTGGCTGAAAGAAATGCTTGTTAGAGTTTATCTTTTCAAAACTAACCACTAGCAAAACCATCATCTATTCCGTGAGGGGTAGCAGTGWTGACTTGGTTTTCCTTATTTAGGTCCACACTAAAACTGCAAACTGTGACAACATTAAAGGCAGTGGTGGGCACAGTTCCCCTAAAGCACTAATAGGAGAACTAATTTCCTGATTAGTGTTTTAAGGCTTTTGCTAATGAAATATTTTTTATTGGATTAACACTTGCTAAATTTATAGGCTAAATTTAGAAGCACTGAGGTCTTTAAATGTTRTTGATCAACGTTGAKRTYAACAGCTKACAGTGAAAGCTRTTGCACATGTTGTTCATATGTGTGTCACTTACCCACCAGGTGACATTATATGAACACTAATACAGCTGTGGAATATCAATAAGTCTTAAGAGAGCAACATGGCGAAATATGACTCATGTTGTCTGTTGAAGAATGTTCATGGGTTGACTGGGTTATTTTAGTGCTTTAGAATTAGCCTTTGCTAAAACTTTCAGTGCGTTAGTGCTTTAGATTTAGGGGACCTAAATATCTGAGTTAGTGTTTTAGGGCGAGTGGAACTAATTTTTACATTAGTGATGCCCACCACTGATTAAAGGAAATCTGTACATAATATTCACTTTATTAGTAATGGAGCTAATCAAACAAAACTGATTTGTTTGAATTAATTCTGTGGATAAATTAAGTGTTATTTTTACACCTTAAACTTTTTCATAAAATTGACTATTATATATTTACCTACAAAAAGTCCCCTCATGAGAAACTAAAGAAAACAAGCTCTGATAGGGGAATTTAGAAAACTGCAGCCGAAGAAGTAAAATCCTGAAGTGATATTTAACTACAATAACGATTAAAAGTTGACCCATTCATTTATATACATATATCCATTTTGTGATTATTATTTATCCAGCATCTTTTAGGAATGAAATACATTGTGCCAACGTCTGTGTTTTCCTAAAGGATATTTGAAAAAATACCTGTGCCCTCCAAATCCCCTCCATCCACATAAAGTCTTTTTTATTAGGGGTTCGAGATAATGAAGAAGGAAATTTAAAAGGTATAGAGGGACTGTGGAGGCAGAAGGAACATGGAGGCGGYGCTATTTTTAGCCCGCCTGCATCATCTCTCCCTCCCTGCCCCTCATCTTCTCTCATCTCCCCTTGTTACTGGCCTGGCCTCTGCCCACAAGCATTCTCGAGAAGAACGAGCACGCTTCGTCACTCTCTTTGAGCTACACACGGCTACATSGAAACGCACACGAGTGCCCACAGCATCACATGGCCGGCTTAAGATTCACATAAAAGTCACAAGCACATACAAAAAACCTCTGGCCCCGTCTTGGTCTCATGAYGGCAGAAGGACGTCACATTACTAACAAATACATTTCATATTGACCTAACATCTAATTTGTTGAAGGATTTTGAAGATTTCACATATTATAGGTGTGATAAATGTTGTAAGAACCTGCATACAAGCACTTAAAGCATCTTTACAACAGAAAGCAAATGATGAGGAAATATATACATAAATTTGAAAATATATTATTTTATATATTTTATTTAGTTGACCCTATTTTACTACCAATGACTTTTCATCATCATCATCATCATCATCATCATCATCATCATCATCATCATCATCATCATCATCACTGTCATTATAAGTAAACATAAAATAATAAGAAAACTGAGTGATTTTCCTAAAAACAGAAACTACTTTCATGAAACAAATGTTAGAGAACACCTACTGTTGGCTCTAACCACAAACTTGCAGCCATCAAAC